ATATACATATACTATACATTACAAGTAGTCTTCGAGGTGGATGGTAAGAACATTTTTACCATATTAAAGAAAGCAAACGTGAGCGCTATTGTAGCTATACAAAGTTGACAAATAAGCACTGCGATGAGTTGCATTCAATAAAGAGAACCTATGTGAGGTGTCACGGTGTAATAAGGCGCTCATCAAAATAATGAAATTGACGATACCAGCAATTTTCTGCCAGTTAGGCAATTTTTTATAGAGTTTTTGTATTTTAGCTCAACAGCTTTTATGTCCATTTTATGAAAACCGTTGACTGATAAGGCACAAAAATATGTAAATCATTACCAGTGAGATTTTAACAGAAACAACGATAAAAACTGCACATCAAGGTGACAATTTAATCAAGGGGTTGATGTTTTGAACAGCTGTTGTAAACCAAAAGGTCTGCAAGTAAACAGCATCAGAATTTAAGGAGCGTCATTTTCAATTAAATTAACTTTGGAGAATAAGCCAACAACAGCTTTATGACGATGTAGGCCTACATATTGTCGAAACAGTTCACGCTCAAGCAAACTCACTTGCCTAGATTGTAGATCTAGATCTAGAATCTAGTCGAAAAACAACAATACTCTACAAACAAGGCTAAGGCCCTCGTCATCGCCAGCTGCAGGTTGATCAGGTGCTAAAATGCTTTTCATCTCTAGCCTACAGATAGACGCTGCCTGCGTTAGGTCTCATTCAAAAGAATTTTAAAGAGCATAATAGTATGTGCTCCTATTCGAACAAACTGAAGAAGCCGCGGCCCCGGTTCCCAATGCCAATAGCAGGTGTGATACTTATGAACTACTACGTAACACAGTAACACACAGTACTCACCAAAAAAGCTCAACGCTGACGGCCAGTTGTGTTGGTAGTAGATCTAGATGTAGTCAACGAATGGAAAAGACTGGCGGGTGTATTTTTTACTGAGTGTACCAGGCCGACTTTTGTAGAGGAACACTTGATCTCTAGATCTAGATCTAGATCTAGTTTGCAAATCAACAGCTTGACGGTGAAAATGTTTATCGGTTAAATGTCGACCAGACAGTGCTAACCAAGTTTAAGTAGATTTCTGTTTCTTCCTGCGAAGACGTCCACTTTGCCTAAGGCCCAAAGCAACCAATCGCAAACCAAGACAAACTTAGCGTCAGCAATGGGTTCTCCCTGGAAAGCATCGGGAATTCCCGTGAGTACGTCATAGCTTGTGTTGTAGCCAAAATCAAGCAGATTTCCCCAGGAGGTAATGTACGATACCGGAGGTGACAACCGACGGTACCTTTCTCGGGTTCCCTTAGACCATCAAATTATATAAACGTGTATATCACATGATATTAAATTTGAATTTAAAAATTAGCTCGGGGCGGAGTTGGAAACCCCCCCAGACGCACTATTAGTTCAGCTGGCATCATGCCGGACTGTGGTGTGGATGGTCTTGTTCGAATTCCGAATGGGGGGGAGCTGTCTTGATGAACTGCGGTTGTTTAGGAAAGTTTTCCAGGATTTTTCACCTTCATCATACTTGGCTCGGGGCAATAGGGGATGAATGTTAAATTCGGACGTCCCGCCTTGTATAGGCTTTCTTAGAATGACCGTATCTGGCCTAACTGCTGTCGAAAAGGTAATAATTTAAATTACCCTATAATGTGCGCGCGCGTGGGACCTCGGCGCAAACAGTAGTTAATCAATTTCTTTAAAAGACCCGAAACGTGTTTTGTTCTGCAACCAGGCCTAGGCTTGTATAGCCCTAGAGACTCAAAAACTGAAGAAATCCCCTGTCGTTTCGTTTTAAGCATAACCACTTAAATAAAGTAGTGCAATGAGAAGATTAATGAACCAAATAGGGCAGAGAAAAAGGCAAGTTTTACAGAGAACTAATTTGATCTTTCAACCTTTAATTCTTAAATCATCGTATGCCTGTATGCGCCATCGTATGCGCCAGTTATATTATTAGATCTATTCCCAATACATGTAGCCTATTATGTGTAGATCTACATACAAACGCCAGCTTTATTAGTTTAGAGTAGGCGTTGGTCCATACACAACTTTTTAAAATAATAAGTATTGTCTTTTGTGATTGTGTCATGTATAAATGTAATGTTACTATACAGAAACAAAGAAGTTAACCATTTTAAAACAGCCTCACATAATTTTTTTTTTTATATGTACGTATATATACATGTACTTCTACGTGTACGTTACTTTTTTACTACTTGGAGTTTAGATCAGAATTTGTTGTGGTTTAAATTCTTGTAGCCTATTCCTTATACATGTAGATTCTGCATGTACATATATATATATA